CTTTATTGTTATTATCAATTAGGGTCGCCCACGTCTCTGATCTTGTCCTAACTACACGTAGTTATTTTTGTTGTTTCCCAGGAATTACACACTCATCTTACTCGGTTCCCCTTACAATCAACCGAGTATCTCTAATTGACGCATGTTCACATCTCAACGTTTTAGTCAGTACATAATTTTGCATCAACATTCCCAAAAGAGGCAAATACTCACAATTGTAGCAATTAAAAAGTCTTAACTCTCTCAACTGAGTTAATGATACTATCTAATTTGGCTTTATAGATTTATTTACCTCCATAATTCTTTAAACATAATTTCACTAAATTTGGAGGTGCTTCTAAGGCCTCAACAACCATTTCATCTCTTCATCCATTTTCATTCGGTCAACTCGAGTTGTAAAATCTAAAAATAGAGAGAGAAGGTTTTTCTTATTCTTAAGGTTTGATCGCTTAACTTTACCCACATCTCCCACATTTTCTAACCATAAAATACCAAGACACCAAAGATTTATCAAGTTTTTCAAAGTTTCAATACTCCATGCTTTACTGCCATGGCTATTACTACTCAATACAAAATTTTCCAAAGTTCGAAGACAAGTTAATCCTTCAATTCCTTTTGATATGTATTCTATTATAAGAGAATTAATTATAAATTGCCTCAAGTTGATTAACTTTCCCATCTCTTGAGGTAATTTGTTAGACAATAACAATTGGCGATGTTTAACATTTGTAGATTAAATAAATCACACAATTCCTTTGACAATTTTTTTAAATTCTCATTATAAGGTAAAGCAAGATACCTCAATCGTATCATCTGTTTTATTTCTCTAGGGATTTCTTCAATATCATCACCCAAAGAAATGCTATTTTTATCATAGACACCAAATTATAATTATCGTAGACTTAAGTTATCAAATAATTTGGACGGAGTCAATAGGCGGCTCTCATCTTGATACTAACCAAAAGACTACGCAATTTTTGTTTTCATTATTGATGCCTATGGGAAATAAGTGTCGTCCTCTAAGTATTATCATTGACTATCAAGCATTTTGAAAAGAAGACTTTAACGGTATACGTCCCAAAATATATTCCAAAATTCATATCCTATGTGAAGTGTCATTTATCAAATCACCATTTCACTTGCATCTCAACACTATGATGCTATGTAGAATACACATATAATTTGGGAATGAAACTTTTGAGGTAACTTTAAGATGTATATTATTACACTCAAATTATAAAGTATATGAGCTTAGAGATAGCATATATCGTTATAAACTTTAATAAATTATCTAAGAATAATGTTATGCTTAAAATTGAATCATATAATCAAGCATACAATCAAGCAAAAATTTTACAAAATTCATGTAAAATTGATACTTTGTCCTATGTTTTTTGTCTGGTTGTATGACTCAGTTGTAAGCATAACATTATTCATTATCCAAAGTGGGATTGTTTTTAGGTTCACCATTTGTGACATATGTTATGCATTAATAACAAATTTTCTTGTTGCTAATTAAGGATTACATAAAAGGAAATTCTAAAGTCTAGAATTCAAATGGTGAACAGTTTAATATAAAGCCTAGAATAGGAATAAAATTTTAAAAAACAAACTCAAGGACCTGAATTCGCAAGAATCACAACATATTGAATCGTATACATATTTATTATTAGCCCAGCCGTCGAAACTACTTGGACCTCTTAATCTTCCTTCATCTCATCATACGTTGGCCAAACTCCAATCTTATTTTTATAAATTTACAAAATAAGAGTAATAACGCAAGCCATGGTTTAGCCATTTCATCTTTCAACCACCTTCTGAACATAAAGCTGTTCACCCAAATGTAACGTTTCAAATCAAAAGAGTAACTCAAAACTCATCCAAAATAGTTCACTATCAGCATCGAAAATGGAATATCAAAAACAGATGCAATAGTAAAAACTGTAAAGGTCAGTTATTGAGCATGTGTTTATGACCTTTATATTGAAGAGAGAAAACTAAAACAGTTTCCAACAACTAATTAGGTCTAATATTTGTAGATTATATAAATCACACAATCTCTTGGTAAAACGAGTTTTGTTTTCCAAATCTTCCCATTATGTGTTGGCCATTTTTGTAAAAGAACTTTCCTTGAGACCCGTTATAATTAGGTCTCTGCACTAAACCATTCATTTTCTATAAGAAATTGAGCAAAGTCATGCACTATTTCATGCATCTTAAAACTTCTTATGTTATCATCAAATTTATTGTTTTTAAAGTGTTGAAAAAAATGAGCGTTTTGCTAAGTCTTGGGTGTATTACTCAAGAGGTATTGAATTCAAGTCATCCTTGAACCTTAATATTAACCAACTCTGGATGGCCGAGTGACTGGACAAAGACTCTTGGGTATATTACTCAAAAGGTCCTGAATTCTAGTTACCTTGATTACTAATAGAGATGGTTGCTAAGAGGAATGGCCACTGGAGGGTATACCCGATCGTTAACTTTAGGACTCTAAGAAATTAGTCGAGGTGTACGCAAGTTGGTCTAAATACCCCTGGTTACAACCAAGAAAGAAAGAAAAAAAAGAATATATATATACCCGATCGTTAACTTTAGGATCCTAAAGAATTAATCGAGATGTACGCAAGCTGGCCCAAATACCCCCGATTACAACCAAGAATATATATATATATAGGATCCTAAAGAATTAGTCGAGATGTACGTAAGCTGGCCCAAATACCCCTGGTTACAACCAAGAAAATATATATATATATATATATATATCATAGTAGCTTAAAGGTGGAAATAGCCCTCCTAATGTTTTTAATAGCAAGAGGCAAGCCCTGACATTTAGCTACAAATTTTCTACTAATATCTTCTGATCTTTCACTAGCTTCACCAGAAAATGCAATTTGACAATATAGTGACCAAGACTCTTTTTCTGCCATTGTCCCTAACATGATCGTGTTGGTGGCTCCTATAATTTTTGCCTTTTGGATTAACGAATTGATGAATTGTGAATGTCCGTACAAAGAAAGTATCTGATGCAAATAAACAACAGGTTTAAATCCCAAAAGATTTATTGAAAGAATAATTAAGCTAAGCTTTGCTTCATGGGTGCTCATTCCTTTGTCCATGCTGTAGTTTAGTTAACTATTAAAAACCTAATAGCCATGCGTACAAGTTTTAGTATTTATACAGTATATGCTTAGGGAATTGATCTCTGCTTTACATTAAAGAATTGATTTAAGTAATTTAGCATAATTGGGGTGATAACCAGAAAATCCAATAGTAGATGTATAAAGCTATAAAAAGAAATTAAATTTGCAACCCATTAAGCCTATATTGTTATTGTTGGCCCAGCCCTTTAATTGACTTGGGCTTAATGGGTTTTTGTATCACCATGTGTAAGCCAGAGTCCACTTGATTTCACGGCTAGCCCATTTGAAGATTCCTCTTGTATCTGCAAATTATTTTCAGTGGAAAAAATTAATATCACCACTCAACAAAAGCTTCAACTATAAAGCTCACACATAGTCTAGGGGTGTGTAAATCCAGATATCTGATCCCAATATGGCATTTCCTGATCCAATCCGAATTTTTGGGTCAGACTATACCTTGATCCGATTCCAATCCGAATTATGCGAATATCCGGATTTACGGATATCCGATTATTCGGATCAGATATCCGAATGTGATCCGAATTTTACAATTTTCCTTTTAAAATCAAATAATTCTAGAAATAAAATTGAAATTATAATGCCCTTACAATTACATGATAAAAGTATCTAAAAAAATTAACATGAAGCATAAAACATTTAACTAATGTTGTCCAAACACTGTCACAGCCTAAATGACTATGCTATCTTCAATTCTTCATTGCCAAATCCTACTCGCCTCACACATGGTTTCTTGTTACCAGATTGACCATTGTATCTGCACTCTCTGGTTGACAATGATTGTGATTTTGAGCCACTAACACCAGCAGATTTGGACCAACATGCCATCAAACCGCGCAGCAGGAAGAACATGAAAATATGAAATTGTTGGGCGTAAGGCTCCACCTGATGTGTCAAATTATTAAAACAACTAGCTGAATTGACCAACTGCCTAAATTGCTATGCTTATCTTCATATCAGATGGCTTTGTCTCCCTTAACTACTCGTCATCATCCTCCTATACAAAACAAAACAAATTAAAAAATGTTCAGTTTCTCATAATATTCCTTTTCTACTTTTCTATCACCAACCATGCTTCCTTCCACAATAAACAAAGCCAGGAAAATTCTCTAGTGGATTAGATTTAGGGGTCAAACTACAATACCCAGATACTTTTTTCGGTGATAAAGATTAAATTATAAAAATAAAGTTTTATTATAGTCAAATTTGTAGATTCAATATTTATTGTAGCCTTGGGGATATATGACATGAACAAAATTCAGCAACTCTAAATTCTAAAGAAATTAACTTACGATCGATTTGGGGCTTCAATCGTTAGAGAGACTGAGATCTGACAGAGTTGAGCAAGAGCCACTGGCCGTTGTGCGTGTTCGAGCGAGAGAGACCGAGAGAGTCGAGCGAGAGAGACCGAGAGAGTTGAGCGAGAGAGACTGAGATCTGAGTCTAAGAGAGTTTGAGTGGCTGACTGTGTGTCTGTCTGTATCTGTGCGTGTTAGAGCGAAAGAGACTTAGAGAGTTGAGCGAGAGAGAGTGACTAAGTGAGAGACTGAGCTGAGATCTGGTCTGAGAGTTTGAGTGACTGTGTGTGAGACTGTGAGGTCTGTGCGACTGTGCGTGACTACGTGTTCCAACGAGACAGCAAGAGCCGAGAGAGACTGAGAGTGAGAGAGACAGAGAGTGTGTGAGGTCTGTGCTGTGCGTGACTGCGTCTGCGTGTTGCTGTGTTCCAACGAGAGAGACTGAGAGTGAGAGACAGGCTTCCAGCGAGGGCCGAGAGAGACTGAGACGAGTGAGAGTGAGAGAGACAGAGTCGAGTAATTGAGTTAATTGTGTTAGACTTAGGGTTATTGTTAGTTGTTACACTCAAAACGACATAATTTTGTAAAATCCGGATCGGATTTGGATATCCGAATTTTTAAGATTCCCGATCCGGTATCCGATCCAAATATTCGGATTTTTTAAAATAACGATCCGTATCCGATCTGAATTTTCGGATATCCGGTTTTTTCGGATCGGATCCGGATCGGATATCGGATTTTTTTGCACAGCCCTAACACATACCATACAAAGAGTCTAACCTGTTTACAAAATAAATTTCTTCCCAAATTGTACTTAAAAACATTCTTAAATAAAGAATTACAATATTATCAAATGAGTTTGAGCAACTTCATTACCACCTGGCCAACAACATTTTGATGGTCACAGCCACGGCTTCATCACTTTCAAAGACTTCCTTCTACCATAAAAAAATGTTCCATCTTAAACATAATGATGCATATGTTTAGGAGGCAATACTTTTAACAAAGCCCAGCTTGCTTTTATATGCTTTCAATGATGGAACTAACAGTGTATATATTCGCAAGCCGCAGCAGTGCTGGAGAATAAAGAAAGCTACAATTAGTTTGAGAGGTTTATCATTCAACAAAAAGAGTAGTTATATTTATACCTAAATGTGACATACTTGATTCACCACCTTGCTTGCAGCCAAACCATTTAAAGATTTCAATGTCTATGAGAACAGTTCATTCTGTTGAATTATTTGATATCACATCACCTTTGCTATATCATCTCCTGTTAAGTCCACCAGATGAAAATTTGGATTGAAATAAACGTATGAGTGTCAAATTCAAAACTTAAATAATTTAACCACAAGAATGGAACAAGAGACTTTATATAGTTATCCATAGAAGTTTCACCGATTTAAATATACCATCTTCCAATCCTTCACTTCATTTTTGTCATTAGTTTCCAATTTTGATCCTCTTTTAAATTCCCCTGCCTTCTACCAAGACATTACAAGATGAAATTAATAATTTTATTACAAACAGTAGAACGATAACAAAACTCAATGTACTTGCTTAACAAAATAATACACCATTTTATTTATGCCAAACTTGTTTTGTACATCAACTCCTGACATTAATTGGTTCTTCAAGCAATTCATGAAATGTTTAAAACTTGCTTTATACTAATTACTTTATAAAAGAAATAAATAAATAAAAAGGCTTCTGCATAAACTAATTACCTGAATTTACAATAGTCGTTTTAAAAAAGTCATTCTCAATATAAGCAATATCTTACCAATGACAATCCCTCTTGAGAAAAAAAGTTACCTCAAATTTTATCCATTACTCAGAAAACATTTGATAGCAGTATCGAAATGGTCCCCTGAAACACAAACAGCCATTTCATCTTTCAAACACCTTCTTTGCATAATTCTGTTCACCCAAACGTAGTTCAAATCAAAAGAATAATTCAAAAGAGTAGTTCAATATCCGCAACAAAAATGGAATACACAAAACAAATGCAATAGTAAAAACTGAAAAAAAAATGCCATTTTATTTAATCTTTTAACAACCCTGTTCACCAAAATGTATAGTGTCAAACCATGCTGTCTCTATGTTAATTTCATCTAGTGTAAAAATGGACTATAAAACAATTGCAATCAAAAAATATAGAGACGTTAAACAATCTTATTTAGGTTGAAAAACTGCAAAATGTTTAAAAGTTAGTTAATGAGCATTTGCATCTAGTGTTTCTTACTTGTATCTTGAAAAAGAAAACCTACCATAGGAAATGAAAAATTAATATTGGTTAATGAACAAAAAATTACAAAGCTAAATACCTGACTACTAACTGGAATCATTCATAGTTATTGGGAATACATCCAGCACTTGTTGACGAAACCGACAAGAAATTTGTCTCTTAAATAAATAAAAGAAATTGCTTTATAAAAGAAATAAATAAATAAAAAGGCTTCTGCATAAACTAATTACCTGAATTTACAACGATCTTTCGAGGAGAATGAAAAACTAAGGTTAAATATAAATTCGTGCAATCAGCAAGCACATAATACTGGAGCCAAAGACTGGCAAGATGAAAGAAGATAATCAAAGTGTTGAATGGAACAGCTAGAAAAACTATACAAGCCATAATTCAATCAAGCATGCAAACCACATTTTGTAGAAATAAAACTCTGTTCCTCCACCTTAAATTTTGGGGTGGCCATGAGTTTCTAACAATTTGGTCCTCCATGAAACATCTTCTTTAGATGGAATTTGATCCTATTTATTCAATAAAGCCAAAAGATAAACCAAATAACTTAACATGAGGTAGTATGTGTAGATGTAAAATGTAAAATTCAAAATGAACCTCATTACTTTGACAAGATTGTGTAATTTTCTTGTGGCTTAGGAACAAAATCCCATACCTGCAGTTCAAGGGAAATAAGGATTAAAAATCAACATGAATAAAGTCAATTTTGAAAAACAAAAATGGAATGTAACACCAAACCTTATACCTTCTGAATATCTTTTCTTAGAGTGGGTTCTAAATTTTCCAATGGTGTCTATCAACAAAGAACAGACAACTATAAATTAGAGCTCACTGTGAATGAAAATGATCAAGTACAAAATCAAATTACCTAAACAAACAACTTGAGATATCTAAAGCTACTGAATAAAATTCAATAGAAAAAGGAGTGTACCCGTGTTTTACCACGTACGACAAACATCAAAGTTATTTTACGCTGACTAAACAATCACATCATGACCTGGAAGCATATTCCACCACCAATTTATAAACTTAAAATTTTTATGATGCCAAATACCATAGGGGTATACAGACGTGGATTACGTGGAATACAGTCTTTAAAAGTGGTTTATTTGCAGCTTGCTCACGGCCAATGTCTTGACACCACCTACATTAATATGCTTTAAGAAGAGTACAAAAATACAATATACGGCCAACTGACCAATGAAAAGAAAGTAACATAGAAAGCTATACACTCAAACTAGTGCACCCTTCTATAGCCAGATACAATAACATACATGTTTATGAGCACTATATCTGAAACAGCAAGGGCAAAGAGGGCACTTTTCTTCTCAAAAGCAGTATCATCTTGAGAGGAAAACCAGATAAAATTCAGCAAGCAATATATATCTCGTTATCTTCTCAAACCAAAAGTTCATTTCCACATCCCAGAACCTGAGCTATTTAAATTCAGATCATACAACTGAAAATATGTGCATGCAGGATAATCACATTAATTAATATGGGATGAAGTTAAAAAGAATATGGGCAAACAAAATTACCTCTCCCCTTTCCCTTCTGTCAGTACCCACCAAGTCCATTACAAAAGTACAAGGCTCAATGCTAGCACATCTTTCTAACCATATACCTTGGGTCGTTTGAGACCGGAAGAGAACCACATTTTATAAGTCATTTTATCTTCCATCAACAAAAATTTTAAGTACCATGAGAATATCAAGAGAAGATGCCTTCCTTTAAATGCATCCATTTCCCCGAAGTTAGTACCAAACAAATGATTTAACAGTGTGCCTTTCCCTGTAATTATCATCGACAACAAAGTGAAACTCTTTAAATTTGCGTATGCTTCAACTTATGCAAGCTATAATAAACCAATTAACAATTAACAAACAAACAAAACAGAAAGACAGGAAAGAAATATCTTAAGAAGTAAAAATAACCAAAAATTAAAAGAGATGGCGCACAAATATCATACAGGAAAAGTAATTCCGTTTTCATATCAACACAACTACTATGCTATCAGGGAAAGATGAGCTAACTTATATCTCAGCATGGTTCAACCATTTCTAATTCACAGGGCTCATACTCTTCTAACATGCAATGCCCATTCAAATTGCGTTTGGTTTGAGAATAAATGATTAAACCCTTGTTTCAAAATGCATCGTTTGCAAAACATAAGTCATTAGCTCTAGGAGAACACATACCGCTACTTTGTGGTCCCATGATGGAGACTACAGCATATGAAAGCCCACAATCACCCAATTTTACATCCTTAATAAAGTACTTAAATCCAGCAATATTAAATGTACCATCCTCATCAATAAGCTGAGTTGAGCAAGATTCTCCACTATTCACTGGAGAAGCAAAAGAGTTCACATGTTAGCAATTGATCAAATGAACAGCTTATAAAACTTCAAATTTGCACATAAATATAATAATTTTCATTGACAAATCATAAATTGCAAAGAACAATAATAACTTATAATTATTTATCTTTAATCCAAACTTTAAATCATGCCAATCACACTTTAATGAACAAAAAATTGCAAAGCTAAATACCTGACCACTAACTGGAATCATTCATAGTTATTGGGCATACATCCAGCACTTGTTGACAAAACCGACAAGAAATTTGTCCCTAAAATGCTTGGAGAAGTATTTGATAGTGTTTATAGTAGCCCAATGGACATGAGGATTCAATAAAAGCCTACAACAGGGCATCCTATGTTTATTTAAGAGATGAGAATGACTTAGCCAAGACTTATGAAATCAACTCCTACATTATATAATACAAAGCAATAGTTGGTGAAGACTAATACCTTTGGTTGTGAAATAATGGCCAAAGCATTGAAAGCCGTATGAGGATTATGCCACCTTAAAACAGCTAAGAATAACGTAAATGCATCCAAAACATTCACAGGAAAAACTTTCCCACATAAGCCGTCATCCATCCTGTCCATTGCTCTTTTCATCAATAATTTTAAAAGGTCATTCTCAGTGAAAGCTAGAATGCAATATCCATAGGGTCCCCTGAATCGCGAGCCTTGGTTCATCCATTTCATCTTTAAACACCTTGCATGCATAAACCTGGATTATTTAATTTTATCAACAATGGATTATTTTAAAAGAAATACTATATTATATTATAAAGTCAACAAAATAAAGCACAACAAACATTTGAAAATAAGTTAATCTAGGAAAAAGAAAGGAAGAAGACGTATACAAGTAATGTGAAAAATGATTGTTAATTGGTATATATCTAAATAAGTCGCTTTAATTTGGAGCAAAGTTGAAGCATCAAAGATGAATATGATCATATTGATTTGGAAACAAAACAACATCATACATCAAGACAAAAAGTTGGTTAAATTCAACTTTGTGGTTTCTTTTAATTGTAGATAACAACAAAATTTAAAATGGAGAAGAAATTACCTATGAGAAGAAGGTGACGTCAGGAATGTGAGAGATCTTGTGCCAATCTTCACCTATCCCCTTCTCGTAACGTGGACGTAGAATAGGGCAATGCTCTATCTCTAATTGTTTTAGTTTTGGAGATTGAAGAATGTAATTGGGCAGCTTTTTTAAGTAGGGGGCGTAAGAAATGTTCAAGTAATGAAGAGATGGCATGATTGTAGTAACTAATTCATCTCCTTTCAAAGTAATATCATCCCACTCTTTCCATTCATACATATAATTAAACTCAAGATTTTTTAATTTGGGAAAGACAATAGAAGATCTGGCAGTGGCATCACTTTCTATTCCCAAAAATTCTTTCTCCACTTTTTTTACACTATAAACCATTCCTATAAAGAGTGATTCAAGAGATGATAATTTTCCTAAAGGAGACAAATACTCACAGTTGTAGCATCTAAAAAGTCTCAACTCCTTCAACTGAGTTAATGATACTATCCAATTTGGCCATATAGTTTTACCTCCATAATTCTCTAAACATAATTTCACTAAATTTGGAGGTGGTTCCAAGGCCTCAACAATTATTTCATCCCTCTCAGACGACCCATTTCCAAAGTCTAAAATTAAAGAGAGGAGGTTTGTCTTATTCCTAAGGTTTGCCCGCTTAACTTCATCCACATCTCCCACATTTCCCAACCCCGAAAAACCAAGACATCGAAGATTTGTCAAGTTTTTCAAACTTCCAATACTACATGCTTTACCGCCATGGCTACTACTACTCAATACAAAATTTTCCAAAGTTCGAAGACAAGTTAATTCTTCATTTCCTTTTGGCATGTATTCTATTATAAAAGGATTAATTATCAAATGTCTCAAGTTGATTAACTTTCCCATCTCTTGAGGTAACTTTGTTAGTTTATAGCAATCGGCGATGTTTAATGTTTGTAGATTATATAAATCACACAATTCTTTCGGCAATTCTTTTAAATTCTCATTATAAGATAAATCAAGATACCTCAAATGTATCATCTTTTTTATTTCTCTCGGGATTTCTTGAATATTCCTTAGAGAAATAAATTGTAATGCTCGCAGACTTGAATTGTCAAATAATTTGGCCTGAGTCAACTGGCTTCTCGGATCTTGACTCTTAACCAAAAGACTACGCAATTTATTTTCATTACAAATGCATGTAGGAAATGAGTCTCGTTCTGCTCTAACTATTATCATTGATTGTTGAGCATTTTTTAAAGAAGACTTTAATTGAGACTCATTGTAATTATCAACCTCTACAATAAAACATTCCTTTTTGGTAAGAAATTGAGCAAAATCATGCACCATATCATGCATCTTACAGCTTTCTATGCTACCATCATATTTATTTTTCTTGAAGTCTTGAAAAAAAGAGCGCATTGCTAAGTTTTCAAAGTATTCCTCACCAATTAATTCCATGTCCTTGTTTCGCTCATCCTTAAGATAACTTTGAGCCATCCATAATTTAATTAATTCATCTTTTTCTATCTCATGATTTTTTGGAAAGATAGCACAATATGAGAAGCATTTTTTCAATGTAGAAGGCAAATCATAATAGCTTACTAGTAAAGGTGGAAAAATCCTTCTTTCTACCTCTTCTATTTCCCACATTTCACTGTGTAGAACACTTTGCCACTCTCCACTATTTGTTTTGAAACGCAAGAGGCTTCCTAAGGTTTTTATAGAAAGAGGTAAGCCCTTGCATTTGGCCACAATTTTTCTACCAATATCTTCTAATTTTTCATCGGCATCACCTGAAAATGCAATTTGTCTAAATAACGACCACGACTCATTTTTTGATAATGTCCCTAACATGATCATGCTGGTGGCTCCTATAGTTTTTGAAGCATTTTCCTTACGTGTGGTAACTAGATTTCTACTTCCTTGAGAGCCACACTTTAAACAATCTTTTATTTGTTCCCAATTTTTGGAATCTTCAGTCCATACATCATCTAGGACAAGAAAAAACTTCTTCCTATCAAGATATTGACTTATATGTTGCAATATAGTTTCCAGTCCAGCTAGTTTTGATGCATCATCTCCAAGAGATTCAAGGATTGCTTTTGAAATCCTAATCTCATCAAAAGGCTCCGAGACACATACCCATATTTTGTTGTCAAAATGGGTTTTCACCTTATCAATATTAAAAACTAATCGAGCAAGAGTAGTTTTACCGATCCCACCCATCCCTACAATAGAAACAATAGAGATGGCTGGCTCTTGACTACTCTCATTCAATAACCTGTTTAATAACTCCTCCTTAACAGCTTCTCTTCCATGAACCATAGATACATCATTAAAAGATGTAGTCATTGGTGGTCTTATTTCTATAGTGCGTTCTGTCAAACTGAAGCCAAACATATTTTTTTCCATACAAATAACATCTAGCGTTCTATTTAGACGCTTTATCTGGCGAGCAATGGCACAAGGCAGGATAACTTTTGTAAAACAAAAGCGATAACAACAGATGAGGGAACATACCTTTTTGATCATCGGCTTGGAGGCATTTCTAAGTTCCGTAAGTTGTAATTTCCCAATAGAAAGTGTTCCACTCATCCAACACATCATCTATATCATACGATGCCTCTTTAAGCTTATCCAGCCAATCCCTCACACCACTATCCATGAATTGTCTGTTCTCTGCATCTTCAAGGACAACCCGAATGGATCGGAAATGGCTGGTGAGCTTTCGGACTTGGTCATCAACACCCGCCACCAGCATTAACTGTTGGTCAAGTTGTTGACGAGCGATTGAAGCCAACTGCTCCAAGACAACAGAAACAAGTGCTTCAGCCATACTCAAAGATGGAAACGGATCGAAGAAAGATGAGAAATTATATTAAACTAACTCTTTATTGAAACAGGTGGTGTTTAAAAAATCAATTAAAGCTGCTGGCCACCTTCCCAAGACAGCTGTTATGCAGAATGCAGTAGTACGGCAAAATTTCAATCTATTTTCTTACGCATGGAAAACATTTCCCAAAGACAAATGTTACGCATTAATAATAATATGCTTTTAAGTTCCAATTTCACAACAGGACGTTATTAGTTAACTCGTAGATAGACGGCGAGATCTATACAGGCAGAACCTACTTTACGACTTATTAAATATTAAATTATCATGCTGAGATTATGAAAAAAAATTATGGGATTGGATTTTGAATCTAATATTATTATATTCTGTACGTCAATATTCAACTCTAATTTCTCAATCGTTTTTTTACTTTTATCAAATTTTTGGTTAATAATAATTTTTCCACTTAAAATAAAAACCTTAATTAAATAAGGAAAAAAAATAACTCATTTTGAAGGGTGTGTTCGTTTTTTTATTTTGTGTATTTATCTTTTTTTTTAAATATTAAAATTGATTGAGAAGACTGAGAAATGAAAATGTATTTGGACATATTTGTCTAAAAATGTATTTTTCAAAAGGTCATTCTAAGTGACAGCACAGATTATATTTGTACGCAACAGCTTCTTGAAAAGATGAGGCCATCTACACTCTTGAGAACATTTAGTAGCAATATCCACAGGGTCCTGAAATGCAAGCCTTGGTTCATCCATTTTATCTTTCCAACACATTGCGTGCATAAACTTGATAACTCAAATCAAAACCTATATATAATAGTTCAATATCATCAACGAAAATAGAATATACAAAACAAATGTAATAGTAAAAAATTAATGAGAACCCAAACAACAAAAGAAAAGAAAAAAAATTACCAATGAGTGGTAGGATGAGTGATGTTATGGGTACTAATCTGTGTACTAACTAAAGCATAGTACTCATACTATGTATATAGTACTCGTACTATGCTTTAGTTAGTACACAGATTAGTACCCATCCATTAATACCCAAAGTATTATTTGTGGTAGGATTGAAAAAAAAATTACCAAAAATCGAACCAAATCAAAAAATTGAATCGAAACCGGTTTTTCAAAACAACTGGTTCGGTTTTTGTTTTAAAAAAAAAATAAAAAAAAACGGTTCCGTTAATGGTTTAACTGTAGTTTTGAATTATTAACGGGAAGCCATTTTTCCAAAATTTTAAAACTTAAACCAGAGGGGGAGAGAGAGAGAGTGAAAAAATAAGAAACAAAAAAGTCAGAAAAACTGACAAACAGAGATGCAGGCCTGCTTTGCATTTAATTCCTTGAAACTCTCACCATTAATTAAAACTTAAAATACTCATTCACACTCACGTTTTGAATACTCCAACACCGCCGCCGGGCGGCCCCCACTTATATTCACTGCTTTGTCTCCTACAACTACAAACACCCTTTCCCCATACAATCAACCAATTAACCCGTGTTCACATCTCGACGTTTTAATCAGCAATAATATTTTGGGTACTAATGGATGAGTACTATTAATATGTGTACTAATTAAAGCATAGTACCTGTACTATGCGTATAGTATGAGTACTATGCTTTAGTTAGTACATATATTAGTACTCATCCATTAGTACCCATAGCATCACTCTTTAATCAGTGTGGAATTTCGCATCAACATTTCCACAATGGAGGCAAATACTTACGGTTGTAACCATTAAAAGTCTTTTAACTCTCTCAGCTGAGTTGATGATACTATCTAACTTAGGTTATATAATTTTAACTCCTTTTAATCCTTCAACTCCTTTTGGCATTTTGGCATGTATTCTGTTATAAGAGAATTAATTATAAAATGTCTCGAGTTGATTAACTTTCCCATCTCGTGAGGTAATTTATTAGACAATAACAATTGATATGTTTAACGTTTGTAGATTATATAAATCACATAATTCCTTCGACAATTTTTTTAAATTCTCATTATTAAATAAAGCAAGATACCTCAAACGTACTATCTGTTTTATTTCTCGAGTGATTTCTCCAATATCATCACCCAAAGAAATGTTATTTTTATCATAGACACCAAATTGTAATTATCGTAGACTTAAGTTATCAAATAATTTGGACAGAGTCAACAAGCGGCTCTCATCTTGATACTTAACCACAAGACTACGCAATTTTTGTTTTCATTATTGTTGCCTATGGGAAATAAGTCTCGTCCTCTAAGTATTATCATTGATTGTCAAGCATTTTGAAAAGAAGACTATAATGGTATACATCCCAAAATATATTCCAAAATTCATATCCTATGTGAAGTGTCATTTATCAAATCACCATTTCACTTGCATCTCAACACTATGATGCTATGTAGAATACACATATAATTTGGGAATGAAACTTTTGAGGTAACTTTAAGATGTATATTATTACACTCAGATTATAAAGTATATGAGCTTAGAGATAGCATATATCGTTATAAACTTTAATAAATTATCTAAGCATAATGTTTTGCTTAAAATTGAATTATAAAGTCAAGTATACAACCAAGCAAAAATTTTACAAAATTCACGTAAAATGAATACTTTGTCTTATGTTTTTTTCTTAGTTATATGACTCAGTTGTAAGCATAACATTATTCATTATCCAAAGTGGGATTGTTTTTGGGTTCACCATTTGTGACATCTGTTTTGCATTAATAACAATTTTTCTTGTTGCTAATTAAGGGTTACCTAAAAAGAAATTTTAAAGTCTAGAATTCAAACGGTGAACAGTTTAATATAAAGCCTAGATTAGGAATAAAATTTTAAAAAAAGAACTCAAGAACCTGAATTCGCAAGAATCTCAACATATTGATTCGTATACATATTTATTATTAGCCCAGCCCTTGAAACTACTTGGACCTCTTAATCTTCCTTCATCTCATCATACGTTTGCCAAACTCCAATCTTATTTTTATAAATGTACAAATTAAGAGTAATAACGCAAGCCATGGTTTAGCCATTTCATCTTTCAACCACCTTCTGAACATAAAGCTGTTCACCCAAATGTAACGTTTCAAATCAAAAGAGTAACTCAAACCTCATCCAAAATAGTTCACTATCAGCATCGAAAATGGACTATAAAAAACAGATGCAATAGTAAAAACTGTAAAAGATCAGTTATTGAGCATGTGTTTATGACCTTTATATTGAAGAAAGAAAACTGAAACAGTTTCCAACAACTAATTAGGTCTAATGTTTGTAGATTACATAAATCACACAATCTCTTGGTAAAACGAGTTTTGTTTTCCAAATCTTCCCATTATGTGTGGACCATTTTTGTAAAAGAACTTTCCTTGAGACCCATTATAATTAGGTCTCTACACCAAACCATTCATTTTCTATAAGAAATTGAGCAAAATCATACACTATTTCATGCATCTTAAAACTTCTTATGTTATCATCAAATTTATTGTTCTTAAAGTGTTGAAAAAATGAGCGTCTTGCTAAGTCTTGGGTGTATTACTCAAGAGGTCTTGAATTCAAGTCATCCTTAAACCTTAATATTAACCAACTCTGGATGGCCGAATAGTTGGACAAAGACTCTTAGGTGTATTACTCAAAATGTCTTGAATTTAAGTCACCTTGATTACTAATAGGGTTGGTCATCGGAGGGTATACCCGATCGTTAACTTCAATATCCTAAGGAATTAGTCGAGGTGTACGCAAGCTGACCCAAATACCCCGAGTTACAACCAAGAAAGAAAAATATATATATACGCAAGTTGACCTAAATACCCCCAGTTACAACCAACACTATAACAAAAAGGGCTTTTAGCTACAATTTTGTTTGCGACGATTTCAAAATTCATTGCCAAAGGTAACTATTAGCGACGAAATATGAAATTGGTTGCCAATAGTTTTGCGGAATTTCTAATACTCTCACAAGATGGCGGGAAGCAAATTGGCGACAGACTTAGCGACGACATAATTCATCATACAATATTTTTGCCGACGAAAATAAAAAAAGCCACACCCAAGTTTTTTTGCGACGTAACTATATGTCGCCGTGGATACTTTTAAGAGACAAAAATAATACAAAACATAGCCAAAAGTATTTAGCAACGCAAATGCATGGCGCCATAAAATGTTTTTGGCGACGAACATATATAAAGCGACGCCAACGAAGTTTAGCTATGCAACAAAAGGCCCGTCGTAATACCTTTTCGGCGACAAAAATATAAAAAACAAAGCAGAATCTATCTGGCTATGCAACAAATTGTGCATCGGGAAACGTTTTTGGCGACAAAAATATAAAAAATGATGCAAAATCCATCTGGCTACGCAACAAATTGTGTGTTGGGGAACGTGTTTGGCGACAAAAATATAAACAACGATGTAAAATCCATCTAGCTACGCAACAAATTGTGCGTCAGGAATGGTTTTTGGCAACAAAAATATAAAAATGACGCAAAATCCCTCTGGCAACACAACAAATTGTGTGTCGGGAAACGTGTTTGGAGACGAAAATATAAAAAACAATGCCAAAAACGTATTGTCGTGAAAAAATTTTGGTGTCAATTTTCTTAAAATCATTGCCATTAGTTTGTTAAAATTTAATTTTTAATATAATTTTATATTT